TGTTTGATCAGTTTACAAAGTTGGCTTTAAAATTTGATTGAAAAGTTGTGATTTTGGAAGTTTTTTAGTTTTGGAAGTTTAAAGTTGTTAAAAGTGGTTTTTGATAATTATCGGATCTACAAGTCCCGGAAGAGAATTCCTTCAGTTCCATTAGCTCTAGAGTGTGTAATTTGGTCTAGAAATATCATCATTTTCTTTTTCGGAGTCCTTCAGTGGAATTGAGCCCTTGAATTTGAACTTTAGGTAAAATAAGGCCAAGCATTGACTTTGGTCAATATTTGGAGATCGACTCTTGGATCGATTTTCTGACGATTTGATTGGATTTAGGAGATAATTATAATAGGCCTAGGTAAGGTCTTGATTGAATTTTTAGAGGTTCCAAAGTGTAACACCCTTCTATTTGAAAGAGCTAGAATTAGAAAGAACCGTTTTTGGAAAGTATTAAAAATTTGAAATTGGCAAAGTTATGTTAAGTAAAGTTTTGGGTCAACTTCAAACGACTATAACTCTCAGTACATGATGATTTAGGTGGAAATAAGATATCAAATGAAAGGCCTTGGAATTATCTTTCCAACGCCACCGAGTTTGCTAATTTTTGATCTCGTATGTGGGAGATATGCCCATTCAAAGTTGGGTTGTCTAGATAAGGGAAGTTGCCCGAATTTAAGAGGGGTATTATGGTTTTTTCCTTATCAATTAGTTTAATTCATTTTTAGTAATTTAATTGGGGTCTAAACTGAATTGGTTCAGTTTACGCATTACAATATTATGCTAGGGTTTTTGGAGAAAGAGCTCAAGAGGAGAAAGGAGAAGAAAAGGTCGAGATTCGTCAAGTTCTTGCGATTTTGGTTGTGGATTTCGCCAAGGGTTAATCCCTACGAGGTATGTGAGTTCACATAGTGTTGGGTTTGTTCACCCACACACCAAACATGTTTATTTCAGCGTGAATTCATCCTAAAAAGTTGAAAGTTTTAATGTTCCTAATGTGTTTTCTTGAATTGCTTTCGTTCTTGAATTGGGATGAGATTGAGGAGTTTCTTGAGATTATAGTGTCGATTATTAGAGTTGTTTGAGTTAGATTCTTGTGTACATGTTTTGGGTATCTGAAACTAAAGAGAAATTGTGAAAAAGGATCGAATTTATTCGAATTAAGATCAGAAAACGAGTTGAAAAATTCATCGGGGTTGATTGGGGGAGGTCTGGAGCGGCGCTCCCCAGATGCCCCAGAGGGACTGGGGCGGCACGCCAGTAGTGCGCCACTATGGGGTCTCTGAACTTTTGGGCGGCGTGCCAGCAGTGCGCCCGAGTCGTCTGCCCCTACCCGTTTTTGATCGTTTAGCCCGTTTGAGTCCTTCTGAAGTGTCCTAACACTTCCTATCAATTATAACTATTCTAAATGACTTCTAAGCATCTAGAAATCATAAACATGAATCACCACCTTGAATCCATAAATTCAAATTCAGGAAAGTTAAGAGCCAAGTCTAGAGAGTTCTTAGAGTCTTTTCAAAAGTCTTTACAAATGTTTTTAAACTTGTTTTAAGACTTGAGCTTTGAGTTGAGTAAGAGTAAAAAGAGAAGTTCATTTTCTTCAAAAGAGTATATGGGAACTAAGTATTCCCAAAGAGTAAATATTTTCATATTTAAGCAACAAAACCTTTGAGCTAGTTTTTGAGTAATTATCTCAAACCACATAAAGACTTATGTTTTTCAACATATGGGCTGAGTATATTTTGGGAGTAGTATTGAGCACCGATATGGGGACGAGTTCATAATTACTCAAGTCTCCATAAAACCATGTAACCAACGTGGGTAGAAAGGGTTATACTTTTTAGATGATTCCTTAATGCTTTTAGCATAGAGTAGCAGATCCACTTAGTTGAGGCGTTCCAAATCCCGGCAAGTTATAGGACAGTTCTGGCAGCGTGGGCGAGACGTTGTATCATCACATAGCTTATACTGATGACTATCGGTAAGAGAATCTCCCAAACAAAGTTTATTTTTGTATTCTTATATACAACTGAGATATTATGGTATTTTCCAATACTTTGAGATGTTATTTACTATTTTAAATGTTTTGTATAAACTGCACCTTTATTGTTGTTTATTTCTGTATTGAGTTGAGTATCCATGAGTTGAGTAAGGCAGAGGTAATTGTTTCTTTCAGATTTTAGTTCAAGATTATGTCATATTTAGTTTTCCCCTCGTATGCTCGTACATTCAATGTACTGGTTCCATTTGGCCTGCATCTTTTATGATGCAGATACAGGTAACCAGGATCAGCATCCAGTGCTCCGTTGATCCAGTTGAGCATTTCAGAGTCATTTGGTGAGCCTTCTTACTTTTCAGAGGATCACTTCTTATATAGTTTTAGTATTTCAGTTGTTAGGATGATCGGGGGTCTTGTCCGACATCTCTCATAGTATTAGAGGCTTCATAGACAGATAGTTATAGTTCTTTAGTCTTTGCATTTTAGTTGTTTTGTTATAAGACTTGAGTTGCCACTTTGGTGAGTTGGATGTTTAATTCAAAAGCATTCTAAGTTATCTTGAGACAGTTGAGTAAAGTTGCATTTGTTTTCTTTTATTAATGCTTAAAGTCTTTTGCTGAGAATCTAGCTAGGCCAAGGGTTCACTTGGGGTCGACAATGGTTCTCGAGTGCCAGTCCCGCCCAGGGTGTAGGCTCGGGGCGTGACACAAAAGAAATTTGGTATTTTGAGTGTAAAGTTATTTTACTACGACTTTAACGAATTTCGGGTCAATGAGACCTTGATTCATGTTTCGACAGTTCCATTGAGTCTCGAACATCAAATTTAGTTGGGTACCATATCTGGTTTGTGTACTCGAGGTTCCAAACGAATCTTGAGGGTAAGTTTGATGATTTTGTTGAGTTTTGTTAATTGTTAATGTTGTTGTCTGGTGTATGTAAATAGTTCATCGTGATCGTGATGCCAACCCTCCCAATCACAAAGGTATTTGATTGCTAAGCATCGCGATCATGTAGGTGAATTAACCTTTGCTTCTCGATCGCGTGGCTCTTGGTCACGATCGCGTAGCAATAGTATCGTGATCATCATAATTTGTGGCCCTTTGCCATGATCACGATAGTCAATTTATATGAGTTGAATGTTTTACTCATCGTGATCGCTTGTCCTTGGGGTTTCTATCGCGATGAACAATTTTTACCTGAACATAATGTTTTACAAAGGTCAGGGTTCATGCCCATTTCACCAGTTTCGAACTTTGAGAGCTCGGTAGAGGCGATTTCAAAGTGGTTTTTCGAGATTCTTTGATTGGGTAATGATTTTCAACTCCCCATCTTTATTACCCACTAATTATTGAATGATTTTTTTGGGTTAATATGAAAGGAAAGACTCAAGTATCAGGTAGATTGATTGAGTTTCTTAAGTCAAGTGAACCTCTGGACCCTTTGTTAAGTGTATTGAACCATGTATGTAATTGTGTGATTGGGAGTAATGGGAATTGATGAAGGTTTTGTATCTCTTGTGCTTTTATAAATGAGGAATAAATTCTTTTGATGAAAATATGGGGTTAAAGAAGAATTTTGTTCATATTGTGATAAATGGTGAACCCTGAATGGTTGAAATGTTGTATTGTTGTTACGTGTCTCAGGATCTGCTTTGAATGGGTCAGAGACTTCAGCTGATTATTAGGAGATTAGTTTTCTTTTAGTCATTATCCTATTAACTAGTTATAGTTGTTCCTATTTTATAGGCATGTTAGTAGTCTTTTAGTAGTCCATGTTCTGTGTTAGTTGTACTGCCCCTCTACTTATTTAATCAGCTTGAAGTTCAATAAAATTTATTCTTCAGTTTTCAATTAATCTTGTTGTTTAAGTTAAATTAATAACATTTGGTATCAAAGCCCTACTTCTTAAGGGACTTGTGTGAGACTTGCGAGGTTCTTTTCTGAGTGTTTATCCATAAAATATTCTCTGCAAAACACCATTAAAACAATGGAGAATGCAGGCTCTTTTTCTGCTATGGCTCCACCAGTTTTCGATGGAGAAAACTATCAAGCCTGGGCAGTAAAAATGCAAGTTTATTTGGAGGCTAGTGATTTGTGGGAGGCTGTCGAGGAAGACTACGAAGTGCATCCTCTGCCAGGGAATCCAACTATGGCTCAGATTAGAACCCACAAGGAAAAGAAGACAGGAAAATCCAAAGTTAAATCTTGTCTCTTTGCTGCAGTTTCTGCCACCATTTTCAGTAGAATAATGACATGTAACTCAGCCAAAGCAATTTGGGATTTCCTCAAGTAAGAGTACGAGGGAGATTAAAGAATTAGAGGAATGAAAGTACTGAACTTGGTTAGAGAATTCGAGATGCAGCGTATGAAGGAATCAGAAACCATTAAGGATTATTCTGATAGGTTGCTTGGGATTGCCAATAAGGTAAGGATACTTGGAAATAAACTTACTGATAATAGAATAGTTCAAAAAATACTTGTAACTTTACCTGAGAGATATGAGGCAACTATTTCTTCATTGGAAAATACTAAAGATCTGCCTAAGCTTAGCTTGGCAGAGTTATTGAGTGCACTGCAGGCACAAGAACAACGAAGAATGATGAGGCATGAGGGATCCATTGAGGGAGCCTTGCAAGCCAACTTGCAGTTCGGTTCAAGTGCCAGGGGAAACAAAGGAAAAGGAAAGAAAGGGAATCATGAAAACTACGAAGCAACACAGCGAGAAATGGTGTTACTGCAACTAACAACAACAGAGAAGGCAAATATCCTCCCTGCCAACATTGTGGGAGGAAAAATCATCCACACATCAAGTGTTGGAGAAAACCTGATATGAAATGCAGAAAGTGTCACAAGCTCGGTCATGCTGAGATTATTTGCAAAGAGAAGGGATTAAAACAACCAAATGTGCATAGATTGCAGACCAACAAGAAGATGAGCAACTATTTGTGGCCACCTGTTTCGCAAGCATAAATTCAAGTGAAAGTTGTCTTGTTGATAGTGGTTGTACGAACCACATGACCAGTGATGAAAAGCTTTTCAAAGAACTTGATATATCAATTAAATCAAGAGTCAGGATCGGAAATGGAGAATACCTCCCAGCGAAAGGAAAGGGGACTGTAGCAATTGAAAGTTACAAAGGTACAAAACTTATTTATGAAGTTTTATTTGTTCCTGAAATTTATCAGAATTTATTAAGTGTTGGACAACTCCTAGAAAATGGATTGAAATTATTATTTAAAGATAAAGTGTTCCTGATCAGTGATCCTAGTGGCAGGAAATATTCAGAATTAAAATGCAGGGAAAAAGCTTCTCCTTGAATCCATTGAACAAGGAACACATAGCTTTTCCAAGCCAGCTCACTGTAGCGGAAATGTGGCACAAAAGGTTGGGTCACTTTCATCACAAAGCTTTATTGTTTATGCAAAGGAGCAAAATGGTAAATGGTTTACCAAACATGGAGGAGAACCTCTCAAGTTGTAAGGCTTGCATGCTTGGCAAGCATACTAGTCTTCCATTTAAAAGTTCCACTTGGAGAACTATAGAAAAGTTGCAACTCATTCACACCGATCTTTGTGGTCCACAAAGAAATCTATCACTCAATGGCAACATGTATTATATTATTTTCATTGATGATCTAACAAGAATGTGTTGGATTTACTTTATGAAGTTTAAGTCCGAAGCTGCTGGAATTTTCATGAAGTTCAAAAGATGGATAGAAAATCAGAGTGGCAGCAAGATTTAGGTCACTAGGTCAGATAATGAAAGTGAATATACCTCAGATACGTTCAATTCTTTTTGTGAAGAAGCTGGAATTGAGCACCAGCTTACTGTCCCTTATTCTCTACAACAAAATGGAGTGAGTGAGAGAAAAAATAGAACAATCATGGAGATGTCGAGATACTTGTTGCATGAGAAGAATCTACCAAAGAAGTTTTGGGCTGAAGCAGCAAACACTGTTGTTTTCTTGCTGAATAGACTGCCTACACGGGCAGTGGAAGGAAAGACTCCATTTAAAGCATGGTATGGTGTCAAACCTGTTTTGAAAAACCTCAAGATATTTGGATGTCTATGTTTTTCTTATGTTCCACAGGTTAAGAGAGACAAAGAAGGCAGATTTGGGAATCTTCATTGGCTATAGCTTATTTTCTAAAGCTTATAGGATCTTTCAACCTCAAACAAACAAGATTATGGTAAGTAGAGACGTTCAATTCCTTGAAGATGAGCAATGGGAATGGAATGAGGAGTCTCGAGTTAAAAACCATAATTCACAACTTGATTATGATGACTTGGTGGATGATCAACCTATTAGGGGAACAAGGTCACTCTCTGATATTTATGAGAGATGCAATGTTGCTGTTTTTGAACCTGCAGGATATGAGGAAGCAAAAATGGATCAAAATTGGACAAATGCAATGAAGGAGGCGCTGACCATGATAGAAAAGAACCATACTTGGAAGCTCGTGGAAAGAGCCCAAGATAGAAAAGTGATTGGAGTTAAATGCATTTTTCGAACAAAGTGAAATCCAGATGGTTCGGTAAACAAGCACAAAGCTAGATTGGTGGTGAAAGGCTATGCCCAAGTTTGGGGAGTAGATTTTTCTGATACTTTTGCCCCAGTAGCCAGATTAGATACAATTCGGATGCTTTTGGCTATTGCGACACAGAAAAATTGGAAGATTTTTCCAATGGACGTGAAGTCTGCTTTCTTGAATGGTCTACTACAGGAAGAAATATATGTTGAGCAGCCAGAAGGGTTCAGCGTACCAGGACATGAAGATATGGTTTATCTGTTAAAGAAAGCTCTATACAGACTAAAGCAAGCTCCTAGATCTTGGTACAGCCGAATAGATAATCATTTGCTAGGCTTAGGCTTTGAAAAAAGCTTAAGTGAATCGACTCTTTATGTCAAGAAAGTTGCCTCTAACATCATTATTATTTCTCTGTATGTCGACGATTTACTTGTGACAGAAAAATAATACAGGGCTGATTGAAGAATTCAAGGAGGAAATGATGAAAGTCTTTGAGATGACTGATCTTGGCGAGATGACTTATTTTCAGGGAATGGAGATCAAGCAAACTCAGAATGAAGTTTTTGTTTGTCATAAGAAATATATGAAGGAGATTCTAAAAAGATTTAGAATGGAAGAATGCAAGAGTGTAGGTACTCCAATGAATAAAAAAGAAAGCTGAAAAAGGATGATGAAGCTGAACTAGTTGATGAAGGAGTATATCGAAGCTTAATTGGATGCTTGATGTATCTCACAACAACAAGGCCTGACATCTTGTTTCCTGTGAGTGTTTTATCAAGGTTTTTAAATTGTGCAAGTGAGTTGCACATGATGGCCTCCAAAAAAGTAGTTAGGTATCTTAAGGGAGCTCTAACCTATGGCATCAAATTTAGGAAAAGTCAGAATTTCAAACTCCATGGATATTTTGATAGTGATTGGGGCGGGTCAACTGGTGATATGAAAAGCACGTTTGGTTATTGTTTCACTTTTGGATCAGGTTGTTTCTCATGGTGCTCAAAGAAACAGGAAATAGTAGCACAATCAACAGTTGAAGCAGAATTCATCGCAGCAGCAGCCACTGTTAATCAAGCACTATGGCTTAGGAAAATTTTGATCGATTTGCAGCTGGAGCAAGTAGAGAGCACTGAGATCCTTGTGGATAATCAAGCTGCTATAGCCATATCCAAAGATCCCGTGTTTTATGGAAGGACCAAGCACTTCAACATCAAGTTTTATTTCTTGAGGGAAGTGCAGAAAAATGGTGAAGTGGTTTTATTCTATTGCAAAGCAGAGAATCAAGTGGCAGACATTTTTACAAAGTCATTTCATGTTAGCAGATTCGAATTTCTTAGAGAAAAGTTGGGAGTTTGTAGCTCTTGATTCAGGAGGAGTGTTGTTACCTGTCTCAGGATATGCTTTGAATGTGTCAGAGACTTCAACTGATTATTAGGAGATTAGTTTTCTTTTAGTCATTAGCCTATTAGCTAGTTATAGTTGTTCCTATTTTATAGGCATGTTAGCAGTCTTTTAGCAGTCCATGTTCTGTGTTAGTTGTACTACCCCTCTACTTATTTAATCAGCTTGAAGTTCAATAAAATTTATTCTTCAGATTTCAATTCATCTTGCTGTTTTAGTTAAATTAATAACATGTATTGACTTCCTCTTGATATTATGCCAAGATTATTTGTATTGGCTTCTTATTGTAAGGATTGTTATCATCTCATCGAGCATTTGTGTATATATATATATATTTGCATTGATACTATAATACACTTGTGATGATGCCTTGTAGAAATGATGAGAAATAAGGGATGGGCTACACACTCAATGGAATATTCTATAATGAGGATCGGGTTATGCATTCTGTGGCAGGTTCATGGAATGATTTGTTTTCCATGGGACATGGACTAAGGTACAATGAGTGTGTATCAGTACGATAGACATGCACCACTCTATATGACACTGCACTGCATTTCATTACACTATATAACTTGCTCCTTGTTAATTGTGGATGATGATATGATATTGTGAATATTGAAATATTGTGAAAGACTGTGGTGATATGACTATATGTGTTGAGGTGCAAGTTTAGATGTTCCATACGTGCTCTACTATTATTGAGTGAGAACTGTTGGAGTGGGTTCATTGACTTTATTATGATTTTAGTTGTGGAGGTTCGGATGGTGCCGTTGGAGTACTTGTGTTTAGTATTGCATTACTTTGAGTTATTTAGGTTTTCTTGCTAGGTACCATTGTTGTTTACTACTCACTACCCTTAGTTCTACACTTGTGTAAGTTACGAGACTGGATCATCATGATTACTCCTTCTTCTCTTCTTCGTCCGAGGCTTATTGTTGAGAGTTTTTGAGGTAGCTGCGTCTTTTCAACGAGCACCTTTAACTCTTATATTATGTTCTTGTTTTGTTCTAGAACCAAAGACTTTCAGATTTGTATTTTTTATTAAATCTAATGTAAAAATTAGAGACTTGTACATGTGACACTAGGTTTCGGGGTCATTTTGAGTTATGTTATATTTGTCCACAATGTTCTTGATATGCTAGTCCTTTATTCTATTTTATTTCTGCATTTACTTCTTCTGTTAGGTTTTAGGTTGACTTGTCTTGATGGGATAAGACATGTACCATCACACTCGATTTTTGGTAGTGACATATAGTGAGAACAAAAAAGGATTTATTTAAAGAATTCCCAACAACTACAGCTAACAGAACATGTCCTTTAGAAAGCTCAAGTAGATCTGGAGACTACACTATGAAGAAGAATTCTGGAGATAAAAGACTGGAATTTAGTGGTTCTTAGAAGGAGATAGAAATACCTGATTCATTCATAGCCTGGTAAATGAGAGGAGGAACAAACTTGCAATCAGTAGAATTATGAAAAGCCAGAGAGTGGAATGAGGAAATAAAGCAGGTAACATTTGAGGGGAAAACATGTTTCCAATACAAATTCTCAAGGGAAATAGAACCTAAGGACTTTTCATTACTCTGCCACATTTTAGAGTTGATCACTAAAGAAGATAACAATAATTTAAATGTTGGCCCTACTAAAGATGAGGTGAAGAAAGTGGTACATGACCTCATTGGAGATAGCTCTAGTGGCTTTGATGGTATAACTGGAAACTTCTACTAGAATTCTAGGATATTATTGGAGGTGATGTTTTAAAGGTAGTCAGAGCTTTCTTTTGATGAAACATACTTACCATATCTATTACATATACTAATTTTTTTTCTTCTTATTGTCTATAAAGGAGAGAGTGCAATCTTTCTATAATTTAAGTACCGATTAGTTTGAGTAATTTTCTGAATAAGGTGATCGCTAGAGTCATTCATAATAGATTGGAAGAAGTCTTTTTAAGATTATTTTCGAAGATCAATTTTGTTTTGTGAGGGGAGAAACATCAAAGAGAAAACATTATTGGCATAAGAAATTATTATTGATATCAAAAAGAGAGAGAAACTTGCTAATGAGGCTATAAAACTTGATATAGCTAGGCCTTTGAAAAAGTCTATTTTTATTTTATTTTCCACCTATTCTTTGGAGTCCGTGTTTGAGCCCCGACTAAATTCGTATCGCGTATTTTATGGCCCATTTAGAGAAGGCTCTCCCAACAAAAAAAATGCATACCCAGGGCTTGAATCTGAGATCTCTAGTTAAGGATGAAGCAGTCCCACCATTGCACCACAACTCGTGTTGGTTATGAAAGAGTCACTTTGTTATTCCTCATTCGTGTACTTCAAAAATGGGGTTTATCATGCATTGCAGGGACCATGTTGATTATGAAAGAGTCTCTTTGTTATTCCTTATATGGTAGACAATATTTAGAGACTGGTGGTAAATAATTGGTATTTTATTTTCATTAATAGATAGACTCGTTGTTTCTTTCACTCTACTAGGGGTAAAGTAGGGTAACCCTTTGTCTCTTGATATGTTCATTCTTATTAATGTTGATGTTCTTACTAGGGCTGTAAAAAACTTGTCCTACAACACTGATTTCACGAGCTTTGGTATGCCTAAATGGATTTCAGACCTAAACACCTAGCCTACATTGATGACATCATTATTTTTTGTGTCTCCTAATAAACTGTCTCTTCAACTGATTAAGGCTACACTTTGGGAATATAAGAAATTCTGGGCAATAGATTAAGGAAAATAAAAGTTCTTTCTATGTGTATTACCAATAATATCATTCAAAAGGTAGAGGAGATTACATGTTTCTCAAGAGTTAAGTTTCCTATAAAATACTTGGGAAACCCCATTGGCCATGCCGGGAATAGGAAGAATCATTTCACAAAAAATATTAAGAAGGATAAGAATAAATCGCAAGCTTGAAATATAAAGAAAACACGGAGGAGTGAGATAAGATTTGATGGATGTTAATTAGTTTTGGAAACTTCTCAGAAAAAAGTGCACGCAAGGTTGTTAGGCAAACCAGGAGTTTCCACAAATAGGTAAATTAAAATCTTAGGACGAATGAAGATGTGTTTAGATAAGGCAATGTCCTTGCAGATTATTTACTAATTTAATTTTTCATTTTGCAGGAATAAGAAAATTAATACTCATATTGTTTTAGGAGGTTCCACAAATAGGCATAAAGAACATTAATATGGACTAATGATATCAAATCTATGAATTTGAAGTTGTCAAAACAAGAGATTTACTACTCAGTGAAATAACACAAATGTAAATAAACAAAGCAACAAAACAAAACACCAAGAATCACCATAGTCCAACATACAATATCAAATAAAAAGTGAGATATAAAAACTTGCAACAAATATTGATTTTTGTTTAATTGTCATTTTTTGATTCCTTGCAAGAGTTTGTTTTATTTTTACTTTCTTTTCTCTTTTAATTTAGCTTAAATTTAAGTGTAATTGTAAAATCATAATCTTAGGTTGAACGGAGATGTCTTTAGATAAGGCAACATCCTTGCGGATTATTGCTAACCTAATTTTTCAGTTTGCAAGTGTAAGAAAACTAATATTCTCATTGTTTTAGGAGGTTCCACAAACAGGCGTGTAATGACCCAGATTGGTCATTTTTGAACTTTTTCCATAAAAACTTCTATGTCACCTCTCCCGATGGTTACATCGAGTCATTTTTGGCTGGTTTGTAAAATCGGTTTTGAGTAAAAAGTTGTGAAGTACGGAAATTTTAGTGTTTTGAAATGCTAAAGTTATTAAAAAGTGGTTCTTAGTGTCTTTTGTAGTTTCGAGTTTCGAAATGGAATTCCATCGATTTAATTAGTCTTGAAATGTGTAATTTGGTCTAGGAGAGTGTGTCAGTTTCGGAGGTATTTTTTGTGGATTTGAGGTCCTTAATTGGAAATTATTGAAGATTTTAGCCTTTGAGTTGACTTTGGTCAACATTCAGAGTTTGGTTACTCATATCTGATTTATGACAGTTCTGTTGTTTCAGGGATGATTTTAGGCCTGGTGGAGATCTTGGTTGAATTTTCAGAGGCCCTGAACTTGATTTAGCTTTTTGAGGCATTATGTTTGTTTATTGGTGACTTTCACTGGTTTCGGGTAAAGGAGACCTCTCATCCGTGTTTTGATGGTTTCATTGAACCTGGAACATCAAGTTTAGATAGGTAGCATTTTTGGTTTGTGTGTACGGGGTTCCAAATGAATGCCAAGGATCCATTCGGAGAATTTATGCCTTGTAATATTTACTGGTTTTTTTGTTCTGGTGCCTGATTATTTGATCATCGTGATCGTGAGGACCTTTCTCATGATTGTGTGATATTGCGTTAGTATGCATCACGATTGCGTGGAACTTTGTCATGATTGCAATGGTCAAATTAAATGAGTTGACTGACTTACTCATCGCAATCGTGTGGCTCTTGGTCGTGATCGCGAAGAGCAATTGAGACCTGAACAATTCTTTTTCTACAATTGGAGTTCCTTGTCATGTTATCCATTTTTTTAACTCTAGAAGTTCGAGTGAGGCGATTTCAAAGTTTATATTCACGATTCTTCGATTGGGTAATGAATTTCGACTCTGCTTCATTGTTATTACCTATTTATGGCATAATGAGTCGAATATAACTTCATTGTTGAAATGGTTTTCACCGTTGGTTTTCAAATCTTTTGGGTAACATAATTTTGTATCAATTTTCAAATTCAAACCTTGTATTCAGAAACAGGTTTTTGAGTCGATTTGACTCCATTTTCGAATTGATTGAAATGAGTGTTGTTGGTTTTGAAATCTCATTGTGAATACTTGTTTGATTATATTGTGTTGATTTGGAAATCGTTCGGAAGGAAAAAGCCCAAGACCTGGAGTGATTTTTCATCGATTTAGGCAAGGGAACTTCTAAAGCTTGTTAAAGCTCGTAAAATCTTGAATCCTCCTTGTTG